GTTTAATAGATATTACATGTTTAAACTGTAAAATAAACCCAAATAATAAACTCAGGAGGTTTGTGTAAAACAGGTGATTCAGATTCTGAGCAGAGCTTTTGTACAATAATCTGTATTTTAAATCATTTTAACAATCATACAGACTTAATAAGATTATTTTGTGATAGATTAAATGTTTTCTGCTCTGCCATCGTTAGATTAAAACAGTTCAATGATAATTTACTTTTCCTCACAGAAGTAAAGAGAGTCCACTGAGGACTGATCAATAATTCACTGTCAGACATTAATGATGGTAAATGAGACGTTCAAAGACACTTCGGCCTCTAGTTAGTTAGTGAGTTAGTTAGTTAGTGAGTTAGTTAGTTAGTTAGTTAGTTAGTGAGTTAGTTAGTTAGTTAGTGAGTTAACAAACAAACACGTTTTCTTAAATCTGTAGAATAACATTTGTTGGACCTCTAATCTCCACAGAACTACAGAGAGAGAGAGAGACAGAGAGAGAGAGAGAGAGAGACAGACAGAGAGAGAGAGACAGAGAGAATTAAAAATAAAATAAAAGATACAATATAAAATATTATATATATATAATATATAAAATTAACAGTGCAAACAGTAAACAGTGCAAATGGAAGTAAAACAGTGCAAATGGATGTGCAAATAGAGGTAGAAATTGTTGGCCTGCTGATTGATCAATTAATAGAAGAGCTTTCAGTGGCCACCCCATGCTCACAGAGGGGCAAATAATTTGTAATTTCATTGTGTGCATATTTGTTTGTTTAATACTTCACCACCACTACTGCCATATAATACTATAATAATAGTATCACAATATTAAAGTAATGTAACTTAAGATAAGAAGTGTTAAGTGTACTCTATATAAGACAACAGGACAATGTAACCTTTGACAAGAAAACATTTTTTGTACTAAAAAAGTGTCTTCTGCTCATGTATTTTATTTTATTTTATTTTATTTATTTATTTTTTTAAATAAATAATCAATCAATCAATTTTTACGTAATGTAACTGTAATCTGATTAGGTATTTCTTTCTGTAACTGTTATGGATTACAGTAACCTTGTAATCTGTTACTCCCCAAGCCTGATTACTACAACACTAAAGCAAATTATAAGGCAAGACTTGCATTATTGACCCAATCTTGAGGCACCTAGTTTTAAGGTTTTTATTATTTCACTTTATATGGTACTTACATGGTGCATTTTTAACAAATATTTGTGTACTAGTCACATTATCTCACATTTAATTAGTGGGAGTACACAGCTCATTATTGCCCTGTGTTAGTCAATGATTACAGATAATAAACCATTTAATCATCAACAGTTATATTACCTATGTGATATCAGACCAGATAAAACTAAATCCTCTGACTGTACTATATATTATAGTAACACACTATAATGTCCTCTCATACGAACATTTAAACAGACTGTATATACTGGATATATATTTGCAATGTATGCGAATAAAACAAAAAAAATAAGACATGGAAGTTTAAAATGGTTATAAAGCTCATTTATTATTTAATTAATTACGGCATACAAAAATAGTAAATATCATTTCATGACACATATCTAGATGAGAGAAGGTGTTACATTGTAGCAGCTGATTATAATTACCTAATAACTGTCATTTACATTTAATATACACCCTGGAATGAGTTTTCATCAGATTCTTTATTCATATCTCAGATCACGTGGATTATTTAACTGTAATTGTGAAATAACACTAACAAAGTGGATCAAATCATTTTGGTACAACCAGGTTTTACCAGGATTGCAGCTCTCCCTCTCCCTGAAATCTCCCTCCTGTTACACTCAGGAGATTTTAATAGATCTTTTCACAGCAGACAGGTGTTACTTATAACATTAATTATCTCTGTTCTACTCAAAGGTCCCAGGAAGCCACGACAATGTGACAGTGAGCGAGCATGGACGACATCAGCACTCTGAAACTGAAGCAGCCAAATTGTATCCAGCCATTGCTCATCGTATTATCTACACCTATGGATATGCTTCTCCTTCTGTGACATGAAGCATCTTCTGTACACACTCACACTGTCCTGAGAAGAGGTCTAAGTAGGCTTAAGCCCAAACTTTGTAGGCTTTGTAAAAGAGAGGCAACGGAAAAGACAATCCTTCATTTTTTTTATGATAAACATAAATAAATTATCAATTAAGTGTGAAAATATTCCCCATTTAAACACCACCTTAGAAAACAAACATCATTGTGTACAAGTACAAGTGTGTTCAGTTAAACAACCACTTCTTCCCTGTTGGGTTTGTGATAATCTTCGTCACTCTGCTTGCCCAGGATGTATCCTCCATCATCTTCCTTCTGCCATTTGTAGATTAATATCGCTGCCAGTGCGACCGCGAGTGTCACCCCTATTACTCCTCCAGCAATAACACCTGTAAACATTAACACAAACGACTTCATTCAATTAACCCACCCCTCCCCAGTGTATCATTCTCAAAGTCAGAGTGCTGTAATGCAAAGTACCGGCTAAGACGTCTTTACTCTCCAAGAACTGCTTGCTGTTTGCCACGACAACAAATCCTGATCCGCTGTGTTCTGCAGGCCCGTGCATATTGTCAAAGCTCGGGACTGAAGAACCCTGAAGACAAAGGCAGGAACTTTATTACTTGCTCTGTCATCCACATTATGAAGTGTTGAAATGGTGAACCTTGTGAAAACAAGTCATGTGTCGTACATGGAAAGTATTCTGGGTTCCACCTCCGCCTTTTGCTGGAGGAATTCTGACGTCTTGGCTGTTGGAGGGATCCTCCCCCTCCTTCTTGTTGTTTTTCATCTCACCTGGTGAGACTGCAAATGGAGAGCATGAAATATATTGTGTGACATAAATATAGTGTATAATTTTATAGTCTTTGTTTCTCATAGTCAACATTACCTTGTTCTGACCAGTCCCCTGAACCGGAACCATAAGTGTCCGGGTCATATCCGGATCCCTCCAGGTCTTCAGGAAGGGCAGAAAACTGATTTCATGGAGAAGAAAGAATGAGGATATTTAGAGATACAGACACAATACTGTTTCTTATCTTATTATCAGATGTATGAAAACAGACAAGAGGTGAAGGAAGCCTGTTTAGGCACTTTCCTTAAGCAATGAGGAAATAAATCAGGTCTTGGATACAAAGTCCCGCTGAAGTAACGCACTCTCTCCGTGGCTGACACCCATAATGACGCAAGAGGTCACATTGTTATCTCCAATAAAGTGTAATGAGTAAAGAATACAGCTTGAATTAAATGGTAATATCACTCAGCCCATTTGTCAAAGCAGTAAAGGTAGAAGAAGCTATTTGGACTTTCAGCTGTTTACAGTTTCAGTGTTTGAATAAAAAACTGCAGCAGCTCAAAATCTCTTTCAGTAAATGATCCACATTAAATGCATTCGCAATCTAACGGCTCGGCAGTATCTTATCTAACAGATAACAGTGGTACTGTACATTCAAATGAAGCTTTAAGTAAATACAAAACAGCAAACTTTCTTCTTAAACACTTTTTAAACAGGGGTGCAAGAAAATATCGATGCACTCGACTATTATTTTGTGATATTCTATCGATTTTTGTGTTTAAACCCCTGACCACTAGATAGCAGGGTTGTATACGTATACTGAGGGCTGTGAGGTTGGATGTTACAGGGTCGGATATCTCACTGTTCTGGCTGCATAAAAAAACTTTTCTTAGAACACAGGTTTTATGCATATGGTGGAGTGTTCTTTATAGTATGACAGTGTTTCTGAAGTTAGATTGCTTTTTAAATCACAATATACCATATATTAATTCAGATACATACAAAAAAACCAAACACTCAATTGTTTCAGCTTTTACAATGTGAGGATTTGGATGGATCATTATATATTATATATATATACACATATATACATATATATATGTATATATATACACATATATACATTGAAGTTTGGATCAGACAAAATAACACGTCACAAAAGACATCGCATTGGGAAATTGTGATTTGAACTTTTAACTAACTTCTGATATTTGTTAGACTAAATGATTAATAATAAAGTGACAGATTAAGCAATAATACATGTAATAATTAGTTGCAACTGTGGATAGATGATTTAGAGTTCAATTCATTCTGCTGTGGTGTCAAAGGAGGATTCAGTAGATAAGAGATCGCTGATTCAGACAGAAGTCCAATGTGTGTCCAACTATGTGCTTACAATCAATTTGGAAGTACTTTACTTCAGTCTTCCTATTCCACACTACTGTATACTCCACTACATTTATTTGATATTCAGGCCGACGTCATGGCTGTAGTTACTTTAAGATTTTACTTTTAAATACGTATTAAATAGTAATTATAGTAGTTCAACCTCCATCAGCTACAACATTAAAATAGTGCTCAGTATGAATCATTCAATAATACACAGCATGCCATTTAAACATGAATGGGGGGAGGGGCTTTATGCATAATGATTACTTTGGACACTTTAAGTACATTTTCCTGATGATCCTTCTGCATTTTTACTAAAGATTCTGAATGCAGTAAGTTGAAATGGAGTATTTTTACACGGCAGTGTTGCTATTTAAGAAATATAACTGCATGCAGGGAATGCAGTGAAAACAGGGCTGTAAGGAGAACTTGACCCTTTACTTCAAGTATGTCCAACTGTTAATACTATAATTACAAGCAAATACATTAAATGGCGGAACTATTAAATATCTATAAAATAGACATTCAATTAGTTTTCGGCTCTGGTTATATAAATAATTTGTATTTAAAGGTCAAAAAGCCATTAGTTGGTTTCAGTAAGAGGTCTAAAATCCACAAAATGGAAGTGAGATGTCCTCTTCTGAAACCCACTGGCTTTCATTTGTAATATCTTCAGTTCTCTGGATACAATATTTGGTCTTGAAGTGGAGGACGGAAAACTAAGTGAGAGCAAGCAGACATCACTGAAATAAACCGACATTAATGAAGAAATGAGCATCAATGGACAACTGTACATTGATTTCAGGGTTAACTGTAGGCTGCCCTGTGATTAAAACCAATGAAGGTTTCCAACAATAAACGAAAACACGAGCCCCGACGGACAATAAAGTCGTAAAAAATAAACACACCTTGACATTTCCTACATTGTAACCCTCGGCTGTTCAGGAAGCAGGAAAGGTGAGTAGAGATTGACGTCAACACAGTTCAAAAATGACTTACCGACAGATGAACAGGGTGAATGAATCCCAGCGCTAGAATTAAAGAGGCTGTCAAATACATCCTCATGTTTACACTGAGTTGGTGTCTAAGTTTATTTAGTCTCTTCTCTTCCTCCTCTTCCTCCTCTTCCTCCTCTTCACCGGACCTCCGCAGGTGCTCGAGCCTCTACGCGCCCGAACAAGCCCCGCCCACATGTGAGACAGCAACACTCTTTACAGACCGGAAATAAACAATCATTGTTTTTGTGGGGTTTTTTTTCTTCTAAAAACAACAACAAAAATAATGTCAACCATTACAAATGATCTAATGGGAACCAGAACTTGAATACACGTCCTGAAATTAAAAACAAGAAACTATTTAAATAGTTGAAACTACACTCTGTTTATTTATTTATAAAAAGGTCTATATCAGTGGCTCCAACTCAGATAATTTACTTTATTAAAAGTGTTTTTTTTAAGTCTTAGTATTGATGCATTACTGTGTATTTGTGCAGTCATTTAATGTTGTAGCAGGTCAGGGTGGAGCCAGTAGTAGTTTAATCTATAACAATGCCTTCTGTTCTTCAGATGGTTTGTTTTGTACATAAAATCTTAATTTGTAACACAGTATAGGCGTCATGTAGTGGAGTAAAAACTTACAATATTTACCTTTAAATTTATTTTGTGGAGTGACCTTTTTGATAGATGTGCATTTATATTACAATCAATGGAAACAGTTTGACTACAAACAGCTGATCTCCATTTAACTAATGATGATTCAGTTCACTTACATTTTATTTGCAGAGTAACTGAAGTTATTTCAGGACACTTTCCATATGGAGCAGGTCTCCTTATAAAATTATTTATAGCGACCAAACAATTCCAAGAAGGAAAAACTGATTCTGATGTGCCACATTCAAAGGGAGGTGAATATTTATGGAAATTTATTTTGTATCTGTAAGTTTTCGCTTTGACATTAAAGGAAAAAAAAAAAAAAAAAGCCACTTTGAAGCTACTTAATGTTGACAGACAAGATGAAAACTTCTAAGGGTATTTTTTTTTTTTTTTTTTTTATAGGATTTACATGAGTTTCTGGGTAGTTTTATTTATAGCAACGGTCTATTTTATATAAGAAATCACACACTGTGGTTTGCATGTAACAGCTTATTGTAGAAGTAGCGGTCAGATAAATGTTGTGCAGTGAACATACAGTATTTCCCTCTGAAATGTAGCACAGTATAAAGTATAAAATGGCATAAAAATACTCAAATACCTCAAATTTGAGTACTCATTTAACTGTTCACAACCGGTCTATTATTATTGACATCAATATTGCGACATATGCTATGTTTATTCTGCCATTGTGTACTTTGTTTGTGATAGTTGGATTGTTGTGAAATAGGTTTTGTACTACTGGACCGACTTTCAGAAGCATTAATAAAATCCTAATAATCTAGTTTAATAAAAACTGCTTTAAAAATACCAAACATGAGGAAAACCACAACAATGCTGGTCAAATGTTAGAAGAACAGTTTAATCATACATAGTCACAATTCTGCTTCCAAAAATGAGTTTGTTTTCTTCATCTAACATCTGGAAATGTACATAAGGCCACCTGAAAATGTACATGACTTTGACAGTGTGACAAAACTCATATGTTCATATTTATATAATTGACAATATTTTACATTGCTTTTGCTTACAAGGTAGTAGCTGTTCCAAAATACAGCACTCTTCTGTACAAAAATAATTCTTGTCATATCCTGTGAAGTTTCCATGGTAGCAGAGAGGACTAAATGCAGCCTCAATTTTAGTACAGAGTGTTTTTTTTCTCCTTTCTTCTTATTAAACTGTCACACATCAGAAAGACTATCAACAGTGGATGTTACAGCTCCAGTACAAATAGAGGCTGGCCTTTCCCACAGCGGATTAAAAACAAAAACCATGCCAGATTGTGAAGCCATAAAGTTTTTTTTTCCTTTAAAATAACACTTGATCAAATAAAACTGTATACATTATATTCAAGGGGAAAGGAGTGATGAATATACACACATCAAAATGCACATTTTTGCCTTTTTCCTCCCCAAAAAGTGTAAAAGACATCCCATTTACAGCATAAACGTTTACAAATGTACAACTGTACAGACGAAATAAAAGCATCACTACAAATTTAGAGCAAGGCCTGTCAAACACCACGACTAGACATTTTTTTTTCAGTTAAACTAATAATCTTACACTTATTAACTGCACATATACTACATGTATTCTACAATTCATATGAAGCAAAGAAGCCATCACTACGAGCATTACAGGTGAATTGTATAGCTTTCGATGGCCCCACCAGCCTCCACCAATGCACTTGCATACCCAACCAAATGAAAAAAGAAGAAACTTTAAAAAACAAAATCAGAACCATTAAAAAAAAGGTTCTTTCAGCATCCCTTTCTTCAACTTATCCAACTAGTTCTAGTTCATTTCACCTCAGATGTACAAAGCTGGGATAAGCGCAACTTCACAACATTTTCTTTTTTTTTTTTGACTACTCTGAACTTCAGGCGGTGGGGGTCCCATCACTGCTGCAAGCCCCCTACCCAAAAGCAACAATTTACTCATACATAAAGATGCTATACATCGCTAAGCTACTTCTACGCAAGAGATGATTATTCAGTACATAAAGATACCGTTTTCTAGGGCAGTGTTCATCTCAAACTACAAGACAGATAAGATGTTACACAAAACATGATAAAGAAAAAAATCATTCCAAGGATTAAAACCTGTCACAGCATGCCAACACATAGCCCGCTCCCACCCCACTATCCCCACAAAAAGCCACCCCCACAACTACGGTCATTTCATGTTAAGATTATACCAGGTTACACGCCCGCTGTACAACCAAACCTCATGCTCTGCATCTGTAAGTTAAATGGTAGCTTGTATCTTGCATAAACCCCGAGTGATCACCTGGATGAGGGAAAGACGGCTCTAGCGGGGCTCAATGGATGCAGCAGCTCAGGTTGGTCAGTCTGGAATATTTAGTACCGAAACATCAGGCAGACTACAAGCTGCTGGGGTAAACACACGCCCCGCCCCCCCCTCAACCACCTGTCCTGGAAAAAAAAAAAAAAAGAGGCAAGAAAAAGCTACCACTGGAAAACACTACCCTAGACTGAAGCACCAATCCCCAAAGCCAAGCTCGCAAACTGGTCTTGAAGACCTCTGGGTGACTGTGGCACGTGACACATAGTACTCGCCTGTGGACGGAGGGGTTTATATCCATCCATACTATGTAGTGCTATTTGAAAATTAATCCATCAGCTGCTTTGGCATGGGAAAACACTTTTACTGTGCATGGGATAATATACAAATATAATATTCAATTGCCTAGACTTAATTAGAACAGCTGACATAAGTCTGGTTACAAAAACAAGTGGAATTGATTTTTTAAAAGGATCACTCAGTTTAGCCTTATAAAATCACTTGCTGGTGTTAATTGTAGGAATTGTAAATTTCAGCAAATGTGTATAAGTTTTTTTTTTTCTACAGAGAATTTACAAGGTAAAAAACTAAATGTACAAGATAATATGAAAACCAGTCAAATACATCAATTACATCATTAACAATGGGCTTGTGCTTTACCCAGGAAAAAAAAGAAAAGAAAAAAAAGAAATCGGCCTGCTGACTGTGCGTCCCCTGGGGGGCCACGCTGGGGACCTGCACCAGGGGTGGCAGAGTGGCAGGGGTCAGTTGTCACAGCGTTCTTAGGTGAAGTTGACTTGTCTCTCTCTCTTTTTTTGGTAATTCCCCAAAAATGGGATGACAGAGGGTGTCAAAGGCTAACCCCTATGGCTAAGGAGCATCTCTCACAGAACAGGGGGTTTGGGGCTCCTACTCCTCCATTTCTTCAGGGATGTCGACGTGACTACATGAGGCCGTTTGTGGGGCCACCGATGGGACCCAGTTCAGATCCGCTCTTCATGTAGTACTTTTCTAGCTTGGCCAGAATGTGCTTCCCGTAGGTGTACTTGCGTAAGGTGGCAATGTGGGGCCGGATCTGGACAAAAGGGAGAGAAGGCAAAACGTCAGAAAATTCAAAGCTGAGCTGAAATGATCAGTAGATGAATTGATCAAAACAATCAAATAAAGTCATTTTTTTAAACAAAAATTCAAAAGAATCGCCGGTTCCAGCTCCTACAATGTGATTTACCAGTTATTTTAGTCTTGATAATGATAAAATTAATTAGCTTGTTGCAGCTCTAGTTCAAAGTCAATGTGGTGTAATCTCAAACAAATTTCACCAAATGAAAAACGCACTACGAAAAAAAAAAAAAAAAGAAAGAAAAGCAAGAAAAGGCTAATAACTTTTCCATGTTCTATACTCAATGTATGTAGGGAACTAGTTCCTAAAGGATAATTATTTTGGAGGTAAAATATTGGTGCACTGCATTTATGGAGAAAAACATGTAAATTCTGTCTGACTTCTTTTCCCCACGTATTCCAAATAATACAAATTCACGAGGTTCAACGAGGTTTCAACTAGTTGTATACTGCCTTCCATGTCTGCGTGTTCACATTAATGAGGTAGTTCACCAACCTTGTGCATGATGATTTTGCGCTGAGCAGGTTCTGCCATGTCAATCATTCTTTGGACAACATAGTTGGCGTACTGGTCCTTCATCATGGTGTACAGGGCGCTGTGGGGCCCGTCTTTCTGGCAGCACACTTCATCTATGAGCAGAGCCCTCTCTGCACGCGAAGAGTGGATCACACACTTCTCCACGACATTACTGGAGGAAAAATGGAGAGAGAAATACTTTTATTACACACATACAAATTCATAACCGAGTCACTGGCTGCTCATAGTGGATGCTTTTTATTTATATTTATCTGGAAGGCTGACACATAATACTAACTAAAACTTTCAAACTGCAACAGTGGGTGTATTGAACATTTTCCAATGTTTCCAACCGTTGCCAATATTAAAAAGGTAGTAAGGGGAAAAGAGGCACTACTTCTTATAAAGTGCAGGTGACTGTAGGCAGGGAGCAGCACATGAATCAAACCAATCAGATCTATTAGACCATGTGATCCACACTGAAAGTTCATTTCATGCAGCACTGTCAATTATTTCTTAGTTTTATAACAATAGTATAGCAGATCCTAGACTCCTATCTTTTAAAGAGCTGTGATTGAAGAAAAACATATAAAGGAACTAATACTAGTTGGCACCTTTGTTATCTGTTGCTGCACTGTGCTCATGCTCAGCTTAATAATGAAATAAAACTGTACTGGTTTGTGAAGGAAGCAGAGTACTAGGTCACTTAAACCGTCACTACATTAAAACATAGCTTACCTTGCAAACTTGTGTTGGCTGAGGACAAGAACCTTTCCGCGAACCTCTGCCACTATCTTGCTCTTATCTTCTGGTCTGCCGTGCTCCAAAACATGCTGAATGACGTAGTTACCATACTGGTCCTGCAGGAGGCAGTGGAGGCGTGAGCTCAAGGTAAACAATCGTTTCAATACTGATTAATAACAAAAAGGATCTACGCGACACCCTTTACTCTGATTGATACTCATGCACTACATTTCACCATTGGTCTTAACTGGTGTGAGATAATCATGCATCTCTACAATGATAGGTAGACGAATGAGTGACACCCCCATCTGTAGTCTTACAAATACCCTTACGTCATCACTGCGGAAGGTCAGACAAAACAGATGCTGCTGGTTTGGAGTGTTGCTGACCAGACAACACAACCAATAGCATCTTTGCCCCTTCAGAAATGGGTGATAGACAGTTATGGGTGTAATTTTAGTGTGACAAGATGGAGACAAGAACTCACCTGACCAAGCAACAAATCACACCACCCTGACTTAATCTTAGTTAAAGTAGTAATTTGTTGGGTAGGGAATACAATCTCCACCTTTAATTTGGAAGTATTTGCCTTTAAATCCATTTCCTGTCAATCTGTTTTAACAAGAACCTGCATTATTTTGCTCTCAGACTTGACTCCAAGTCTTCACTCGAGGTGAAGTTACAAGGGATTTAGGCACCATTTATGAACACTTTAATTGTCCAAAGAGTTTCAAACTCTCAGGAATCTTTGATCAAAACAATCACGGTAAAATCAAGAAGATGAAAACAGAAAAACAGATTGATCAGGAGATGCTGGAGGCAAAAGAGAGGGATCGTCAGACAGCAGGGAAGCATGTGCCTTGTGAATCCTCTGTGGCATAAAGCAAGAAGGGGGAAAGGTGAGAAAGAGGCGGTTCAGTGGGTTAGGAGAAGGCCTGTAAAAGTCGGGAGTCGGAGAACTACGTAAATGTTAAATTAGATTCTTTACAAAAGAAAAGATAAGGAAAAGAGGAAGGGAGCACGGGGACATCCGCGAGAGAGAGGCAAATTGCTCTGACCTTGAACAGTGCATCACGGGACACTGTATAATATGTTTTGGGTGTCATCTCCAATGATACGCCTTGATATTTCTAGATGGAATAAGTGAGGGGGCAGGGTGGATGTTTAAATAATCACATATGTCAGATGTAATGACAGCTAACAGTACAATAACAATCACACTTTACATTTAGCAGAACACAACTACACAGGAACAATGACAGGCTGAAAATATGAAATGCTCAAACATGGAGGAGACATGCGAATACACAAGACAAGCACACATCTCAACAATTATCTGTCAAAGCAAACAGAGATAACATCTGCAAACAATTTGGACTTAGAAATGAGAGACTGGAGACAGATGTGCTCACCTGGCCCAGTTGTTCAGAGTGCTGATGCAGCTCTTCCAGGATGGGCAGAGTCTGCTCCTGGGTGCAGTGCTCCAAAATCCTTTGGATAACTCTGCAGCCATAGGGGTGAGTAGAAAGCACAAACACCTGCAGAAAAAAGAAAGGAAAAAAAAAGCAGAGGTAATTTCACAAAAAACTAAATATATTAGAACTACAATGTTAAAGCTACACTAAACTGGATTAAAAGGTTAAATATTACGCTGATTCTTTCATTTAAAGATTCATACAATCTGCATTTTTTCAGTTTCTTTTTAATAATTACTTTACAACTCTATTTTGACTATCTGAGTGAAACTCTGTCATCATGCCTATTTGGCATTTAAGAATTTGAAAGCGGTTAATGTTCAGGTGAATTTTCTACTACTGTACTTGTATCATGTCTGACTGGTGTCTGATCTGTTTGTTTCTTCATATTACAATCTTGAATTTCCATAAAAACAATGCTGATGGTCAAAGCAAACAGACATTTGGATTTATTAACACATCTTTTAGACATTCCACATTTCTCAAAATATAGATGAAAGAAAGGGGAATAACAGGCAGCGGAGCCACTGCTTAGGATAATAAACCCACCTGTCCCTGGAAGGCATCAATGATGAACTGTAGGGCCTGGGGCTGGACACACTCAATACACTTCTGCACCACATGGTTGCCATTCTGGTCCTTGACACACTTCAACACGTGGCCATCCAGCTCGCGGACGATGTCGCTCTGAAGTATAGAAATAAGGAACAAAATTGTAACCGAGCATTGTAACATGTAGGATTGATTTTAAAAAATAAAATAAAAAAAAAAAGACCTTAATAAAACAGGGTTAACAGATACATTAAAAAGAAGTGAAATCTCACTTACAATTACCTGCTGGTCTGAGGAAATTGACTCCAAGGCTTTCTGAATGACCCTGCAACCATACATTTGCAAAGCCAGGGGAAGGACGTGTCCACGAATACGTGTTGCCAAAGCCAGCTTCTGGTCTGCACTTCCAAACTGCACAACACAAAACACAAACTATTACATAGATGCTACAGAAAATAGAGTCTGTGTTCTAGTTAATATTATGTGATTACTGAAATAACACCTCGGTATAAACAGTCCAAACCTCAAAGAACTTTTGGATGACATAATTCCCAAATACATCAGTCATCAGTTGGTATGCTGCTTGAAGAATCTCTCCAAACACCATCTGCCTCTCAGCAGGAGTGGCCCTCTCTAGCTTCTGCTGGATAAATCTAGACAGACAAGATTAGAATAAAAAAAATAAAAAAAATACAGGAGGGAAAAAGAAATTAGATTTGCAATTTGCAAAGCACTCTCTGCCCATTTTAAGTCAGAAGACACTTCTTAGGCACCTGGATCCATGCTGGTCTTGAGAGAACTCCACCATGTGTCCCGGCAAGTCACGGAGTTGGAGGTTTGGGAAGCGGTTGTTCCTGAAGTCTTCCAGTAGGCGGCTGCGCCCGGACGGCATCACGTCAGAGCGACTGTAGCGGGGCCGAGACGGAGGGAACAGCTGGCTGCTGGAATTAAAGAGACTGGATGTCCCGCCGGCACTCCGGTACTTGGCCTCAGCTCCAGGCGCTGCAGAAATGTAACGGCCGCTGCCATTTGTCAGGCCACCTAGGATTACAGAATAACCGGATACAATTGTCGTGGTGGCGGGATCTGACTATGTGAAAAAGTGTACGCCTCAAGATGAAAGACATTTCAGAAATATATTCTGATAATGCAGTAAAAACTAATTTGATTTGTATGTCTGGGACTGTATACTGAGAGACCTTAAAATGAATTCAACAGTCAAAGTAAACCATTCACTGTTGATAGATATTATGCTTACCTAGGTGAAGGCTAGAAGAGGATCCATGAGAGGAGGGCAGAGAAGGTGGAGGAGTGAGTGGGGAATGACCTGGTGTGAGGCCAATGGGACTGGGTGAAGAGGAGTAACCCAGACTGTTGTAAAAGGGCTGGCCGATGGGAGTTAAACTGCTGCCGCTGCGTTTGTATAAATCAGAACTTGCCAACAGGGAGTCCCTGCGAGATACACTGCTACTGGTAGAGCTGGATACTGCAAATAAAAAAATACAAGAGTAAGAAAACAGACTCCTAAAAAAGAAACAATTGCTTTAATCCTCATGTAGCTTGTGGCTGAGTCACTGACCAGAAGAGCCAAAGCCTCCAAGAGCAGAGCCCAGGCCTACACCAAGAGAGCCACCGGTACTGCTGAAGCCCAGGGAGGAGCTTGGTGGTGCAGCAGAGGTGTGTGAGAAAAGGGAGCTGCTCTGAGAAGTGTTAGGGACTGATCCAGAGCCATAGAATGAGCTGGAGGGCAGGCCACTGCTGGGTGGGGGAGCCTGTTGCTGCTGTGGCTGGGGTTGAGGTTGAGGCATAGAGCGGTACAGCCCGTTGGCTGGAGGACCAGACATGTTGTTACCAGAGCCAGATGCTGACACCGCAGCTGCTGGTCGAGTGAGAAAGGAGAGGGGTAAAAGAAAAGCTGAGGTCAGAATGGCCCTGAAAGGCACTAATAAAGGAGGATCCACATTTGAAATTACATGGACATGTGGATTAGTACTTACCAGCTTGTGCTGCTGCAGCGTTGATGAGGAGAGGGGTCTGGACTAGACGAACTGGCCCACCTAGACCAGTTCGGGCACCAGGGCCCATCACCAGGGCTCCAGTCTGGTCATAATAGGCTGCAGGAGCCAACACCTGATATCCTGAAAAGATGGTAAACAAAAAAAGTCAGCGAATACAGATTAATGCATATAAAGTCATCTTAAAAAGTAACAACAGGGGAGGTGTGCGTCAGAACAATGTAATAAGTAATGTATCTAGTAAAGGTCAAAAGAGCAGTTAAAATGACATCAAGCAGTGAAGATTAATTTGTTTGGCTGTTAGGGTCTTTGGCTGTACTAACCAGGCATTCCTGTGTAAGCCAATGCAGGGTTTGCAGCAGCTGCTGCAGCTAGAGATTCCTGCTGACTCTGTTGGCCTTGCCCAGGTGTAAGAGGTCGCTGGTTGGATCCTGTGCGCATCACCTGGAGAAGAAGGCAAGAATATTCTGTATTTAAAAGATCCTGAAAACTTCAAAACCTTAAGTATTTCTATATAACATCAATTAGATAACACTAAATGAGCTGGAGTCAAAGTTCAGCTAATGAGGACTGTGTGTGTTTGATTTAATCAGATTTGACAGACAGTTGCCTAGCAACATAAACCCAATAAACCCATAACAACATAGCAACCCATAATTAACCCAACAACTGTCATTATATATTGATTCAAATGTTGCCAAACTGATTGGTGAACGGAAGTATGTGACATCACCTTTTTTCCAACAAACAGCCATTTTTAAATCCAAGGATGGAAAAGACAAATCCAAAAATCCACCATTTGAAAAATACAAAACAAAAAACAGTTCTGAATTCACCAAAAAGTTAGTGTATTCATGTACTACGAGCGTTCATAAGTTGCGCATTTGTTCCCTCTTTAAATATCACTTAAACAAAATTACACCCATAAGTCTGTCTATTAAGAGGTACTGCACCCAAAACATGTTTTTTGAACTGTAAACTGAATTTTTCTGACTACCCAGCAGGGCTGGTGTTAAACTGACATTACCAAATTTATGAAAATCTGCATTTTTTGGGTTAAAAATGGCTCAATCAGAAGAGGGCAGTGAGTCGGTGAAACTGTTACATGCATGTTCAATTGTATACAGATCGAGACACATCATTCACAGGAGTTTATGCTAGTCTTTGCGAACCCTCTGCTTTGTATTTTTCTACTCTGGCCCATATGTTTGGACTTGTGCTCCATACAGCTGTAGAAACACCACCAGACTGCAATGTTTACCTTGATCCCACACACCGACAGCTCCCCCACAGACACATGGTAGTTGTGTCTGTACATGGCAGATTTCTTCACAGTCAAATTGTGTAATCTGCCTGTCCACATTAGCACCTAGTTGTCCTTATAAAATAGTTTAATCCTGGTGAAATTTGTTAGGCTCATTCAAGCTTTTCACAATATGCCCTGCTTTTCAGAACCACCTTTACAAAAACACCTTGCAGATCAAGTACAACAACTTGTCACTGGACAACTTCCTACCTGTTGCTGGCCTGGCCCTGGTCCCTGATTGGATGCTTGCTGATTAGCTGAGTGATTGGCAGCTGATGCAGCCTGTTGCTGAAAAAGATTGGCTGGGTACACTCCCCAAGGAACTCCATAGTACTGTGGTGGAACCACTGTGGGCCCTGAGGAAAACATGTTCCACGGGATGTTACAGGTACATTATATAGAACTGATCATGGTGATTTTTTTTCCCTTTTCTTACAAGAACAAAAAGGAACAAAAGTGTGCTGTAAATTCACCTGCAAGTGTGGCTGCTGCTGCCAGCCCAGCGGCAGTGTAGGGATCAGTTCCAGGGGGGGCAGCATTAATGATGTAAGGGTTTGGCACAAATGCAGGAGCAAGGCCAGCTGGGTAATATGAGGAACAGTAATGTAATGCATTTCCATATCAAATCTCATTCAAATTTTTATGCAACTGTAAAAACAGATCTCTAGACAACTTGAGACAAAAGGTAGTTTAACTGTAATTGCATAACACACTGTACTACAGTGAGTAAGACAAACAGCCCGACTTACCGAGATGCTGCTGCTGGGCCGCAGCCAGAGCATATTGTTGTTGCTGAGCTGCTGTGAGCTGTTGAACAGTCAGGGGATTAGATCTCTGGAACAACTGGAAAAACAACAAAAAAAAAAGGATCACAATCTGTTGAGCAAACTTGGAGTTGAATCTCTGGATAGATGGGTTTTGTTTTTCCACAGACCTGCTGTTGAGAGTTGTAGTCAAACAATCCTACTGGAGTACCAGAGGAGTCCACCTGAATCTGGTTCCCCACATAGTCAAACTGGAGGGACTCCACACCGGCTTGCTGTTCCATACCTCCCATGTTTTGGGCCTCCTGGTTCTGGAAGTCCTCAGCTTGGGCCTTGTTTTGGGCAGGGTTGTGTTGTTGGAGGGCATGGGGGTGGTGGTGGTGCTGGTGCTGGTGCTGTCCCATCATCTCCAAACCTGTCTGACTGGGACCCATCCGCTCTACAGCCTCAGTGGGGGACGCTTGACGGCTTCCAGGGGTTGGACTGGGGAAAGCAAAGAAGTTGCAATATCGTCGCACATGTCATATCAGTACAAAACTTTACCTGAGATTGCTGAAGCCCAGTAACATCAATGAGACTATACGCCTTTACATTTATCTGTTGGACATTTCATTTCGTTGTGTTTAGGCTTCACTGCAATGCTCAAATCTACCAAAACATTTTGAAGAACTTCTGTTAAAATAGTTTTGAGCATTCTGGTATGAAATTATTTAAAAATAAAACAAAAGGAGGGGTTAAAAACTAAGTTACAGGTCTCAATTTAAAACCACTAGAGTTATAAAGCATCAAACAATAGGTAGCAGTTCACTTTGTTGCTGGTAAACCTACTTGAAATCTTTGCAGTCCCTGTCCATGCCGTTTAGTAGACCTCTCCCGTTGGCTTTAGCAGGATCATTCTCCTCTCCCACCTTCATCTCTGGGCTCTTGTCCTCTTCAAAGGGAGACACTTTCTCTTGGACATCACTCTTCTCCCTCCCATCTTGGTCAACATCTCCTCCACCCTGCATTCATTAAAAAAGGATTAGGTTAAGACTATGTTCCACCCTTGAGAATAAGTGTTTAATAAGCAAAAGCTGAGTTAGTGAGACAGAAGCTCGACTTACATAGCCACCGTTCCTGTAGCGACCATCCATCTTGTCACCGGGAGAGGAGCTCAGGACATACTCCACCATGCTCACCCCGAGGCCTCCACCCTCTGAGCGAGGTGAAAGCACAGAATTGGCATCACCATTCCCATGGAAACTCTGGCCTGGTCGCCGCTGCACCATGATTGGCTGAGACACTGAATGATCTGAATGAAAAGCTGTGATCAAATCTCTAAATAGTTGTGTACATAAAACTATAGCTGTGTAAAAACCCCCATCTCCAAGAAAAATAATCTGCATTAAACTTCTTTACACAAAGATATGTCACTCACGAGATGATCCCCATGCATTGTCCCTCCACTCCTCGCCAAGAAGCATCCCTTTCCTTCCATCCTTGGCCAACTCATCAGAATCCCAGAGCTTTTTTGCTGGCAGAAGCTACAAATAAATTATACATATTTTCTAAGCATCTGCAAGATCACCGCATGTCTAAGTGCAATGTAATTTTAAAAACAAAACAAAAGATACCACCGTCAACGACATCTCATTTAAAATTTCATTTACAGTTGTTTACAAGTTTGACGTTTAAATATTAGATTTTACTGTAGTCTTGGTTATCTAAGGATTTTCTCAGTCCACTGAAAATCTGAGTATGAATACTTATCCCTGTAGACTTAAAAGGTGGCTGTAGGGATTGTTCATCGTGGAGAACACTTTATTGCTTAGTGCTTTTTTAATCCTTAAAACAATTACTGAACTGCAGAGTTACAGCACATTTTTAAATCAAATAAAGGCACTCACCCCTGCACCAATCCACTGCCACTGCTGTATACTGTACATACAAAACCATCTTATGTCCACTACTTTGACCCCTATCCGAACACACAACTCTGTCAAGCATGAGTGCAAGCTGGTTTGCACCCGTCTCCTGCTCTTCCATTCGTCACAAAAACAGTTTTCTCCAAGCTCAATCTGATCTACATAAAAGGAGTAAACTACAGATGTCTTGAGGCTACCTTTCAAGTCTAAACAGGGTGAGTGTTTCATGCAAATTTAAATATTGATTAATTGCTGTACTCAAATGTAGAAAAGGTTGTATGTTAGGACCACAAACTCCTCACCTCTCCCATGCCCCTTGACTCCAAAGCAAGAGCTTGGAAGTCATAGTTCATTTCATCCACAGCACGGACCTGAGACAAAAGGAAAGAAAAACTAGACTGTAAACAGAAAGCTTAAAGGACTCTGAATGGCCACAAATTAAACACATCAGTTCTGCTAATGGCACAGTACAACAAACTAGTCTGTTCTCCACAGTGTTGCCATTAAAATATTTTGGTTCTGTGAAATAAAAAATAAAATTTAACATTATTTCAAGAGCCCGCCCCCCCTAGAAAGACTCATATTCAATAAAGAGGCATTAAATGATAGAAAGATAATACAACCACATTCAAACAAAAAAACACTTTTTGTTGGGGGGTGGGATAAAACTCTGGGATAAACATCGGTTTCTGTTTTGAAAAATTAAATTCTTCTCCCTATATATCCATCCATTAGTTAGCCAAACCCAAGAGTACAACAATGGACACGATACAATGGGTGTTGATGAAGGACATGAAAGATTAGAATGATAAGCACTAGGACATTACACCAGCAGACAAAACAATAGTGCTGCACCCAATTTCTCTTCTCCCTTCTGATTGTCCGTACTCTACTGCCTACTGCCTACAAACATCTAATAATACAATTTAAAGCCCTTAACCAACATTTTTCTGACTCCCAGAGTTCTGAGTTTAGACAGGAAGAATTGCGCTCGACCAAGAACCCACTGTATCATGAGATTAGTCTTTAAACACAGAAAAGCACAACCACAACTTGTAATGTGTGTAAAGTCGACATTACGGGGGGGTGGAAATTGTGCTAGAATACTTTAAACTTAAAAAGGACCAGTGTGTAGGATTTAGTTGGCATCTAGCGGTGAGATGCAGACTGAAACTAACTCGCCTCACCCTCCGCTTCTAAGCATGTAGGAGAAACTACGTTTCTGTAGAAACATGGCAATTTAACATGGTGGACTCTGTCTCACTAACTCTAAATAAAAAAAACAACTCATCCTACAATTAGGAAGACAGAACAATTCTTATTTTCAGCTGATTATACAGTAATAAAAACATACCTATGAATATCATATTCCATTTCGGCCAATAAATCCTTCTAAATGTTACACAATGAACCTTTAATTAGGTGTATCAGTAGATATTTAAATTCAGGTATCGGATAGGATCTTTAGAGCAAATATCTAGAAGAAAACAAGAAAAGAGCAGTGAGGCTACATTAACATGTGAAGTATCTGTATCACAAGACAAAAGAAGGCCAGAAGATAGCATCTTTCATCAGGTTGAGTGATCCTGTGTATATTCACATGGGGCCTGCTGAACAAAAGGTCTCACATGTATGGGAAATAGGGCAAGAGCACAGAAAATCTCTTTAAAAAAAAAAAAAAGCTGATTAACTAAGGTGTCTGATACAGCCATCATCTTACGGAAACAGATGAGATAAATCAGTGAAACCTGTTGGTGTGGACCAATACAACTACATAAATACCCACATTAAAGACCATTTAAATACAAATGTTGCCTTCTTTTACCTTCTTCAGCATTTCCAACATCATTGCAGGTCTAGTCTGTTGTACAACTCCCTCAACTAGGATAAAGCTTTCTACTTAAATTGTTATGTTCTACCAAGTGCTTTCACTTTGACCCAAGGCCATATGTAGGTTAGGTGAGGCAAGTGTTGCTACAGGTACCAGTAAGATCAAATCTAATCCAGGAAGTCCACTGACAAATCCGTAAGTCTGAACACTTTTCAGATGCCAAAACACCACATGGCAGTTTAATACTGTAAGACAGGATATTATAAGCTTGGCTAGTTATCAAGGCGAAAGTCACACTCCTGCTGTGCCAACGCACTGGTCTCACACGTTTTATCCTCTGCAAATAAGGAGGCTGTCATTTTTTGACAGCAGTACTATTCCTGTGTGTTTGACCTGCGACAGAACGGTGATCTTCCCTGGGTGTACGCCATTTGCACCCAATGTGTGCTGGGATAAGCAAATACAGAGTAGATGCAGGGGCGTTTCCAGGAGGAGGGGGGGGCTCAACACTGTCTTCTAGAGGCTTTAGCAGGCTCCATTTTAAAACTAGAGTGATACTGGTAGATGAAACTAATGCATCCATTGTTAACCATGGGAAGGGGGCTAAATAATGCTCTAAAGTTAGGCTGAATTTTGGTAATGGAAAAAACAGCATGGTCATATAAAAAGGGCCACTGACAACAAGATATCTTTGGTTCTGTGAGTATTTTTTCACCCACTGTATTTTATTATTCCTACATACTGGGGTCCCTAAACAGTGTTGGAATTGCATAAATTGGGAATGACTGGAAAGCCGAGACACACTTCATGCCAATCCTGCATAAGTCAGTGCCCCACTTGTGTCCCCACCCGGTCAACAGTCTGGAAACGCCCCAGAGTGGATGGACCTTATCTAATAGTGCAAATTAACTAATGGTGTCAACATAAACACACAAATATTTCCAATTTCTGGACTCTTTAAATGATAGGCTTTAATTATTTTCGTGGTTAGTTTCTGCCTCTTGTTTTTTAGCAGCGTTTTCTCAGCAACAAACACTTTAATTGTCTTTGGTGACATTTCTGTTCAGTCACAGTAGAACAACCACCATGCAGCAGGGAGAAAAAAAATACAGATGTTATGAGGAACATTTCTATTTTGTTTCCTCAATGCAGTTAAATTATATGTACACATTGTACATTTTCAACTCGACACCCCTACACACTCACGTTTTCCTATGAGAGATGAATTTGTCATTGTATTTACAGACATTGTTAAGCCCTTGTATGGCTGCGCTCAACAGAAGCTCCAACTTCAATTAGACACACCTAAAGAAAATGGTAATTGATGAATGGCTGACACCTGGTGCAAATCATCACCGATTAACTGACCGTACGATATATGCGATCTAGTGTTACTGGTGACTAACAGGGTTTTATTGTCTGGGCTATAAGTAACACATGATATTATGCATCCAAACACAAACTCTAAGACACTGACAAGTTATCCAGTGAAATTTCTTTCTCAACTCTTTTTAAATTCTTTATTTTGTTACTTTCTGGGGTTGACATATCTAAACCACGTCTGATGGGCACTTTTCTGAATAGTGAAAAAGACTCAACAATAGGAAAAAATATATATATATTTTTTTTAAATGGAAAATTACAGGTTTAATTATTGATACAATATTCAGTTACACTTATAGCCTATGCAGATGCAAAAAAAACTTTTTTTAAAAATTTAATAACATTACAACGACCGGTCTCTATTAAGACGCTTTACCTGATCAACATGGTTTGCATCTCCAGTTGGCCAGCGATGCTTGCTGGGTGGGCAACCTCCGAGCTGCTCTCCGTGCTGCCTCTGAAAAAAGTATCCAACTGTGGCGTCATCCTGAGATCGTCCACTGAGCGGAGCCTGGGGAGTACCTGGTGTAGGGTTCACAACCCTGTCCATGCCCTGTAAATGTGGAACTCCAGGGGCCTGTCCGGCTCCCCCAACTGTGGCTAGGGGCCCTCCACCGTGAACTCTGACCCCTCCAGTCTCAGGAGCACCATTTGCATGCAGCATCCCACCTCTTGTCTCCTGCCAGGCCACGTCATTCATACTTAGGATGCTGCATGGAACGCTCATTCCACGGGAAAGCCTAAACAAAAACACAACATGATTTTGTCAGTAAATTGCAGTCGTCATTCCAGTTGACCTGTACAGGGATGCACCGACATATCAGCACAAATGTGTGTGGTTGACTGGCATTCACCGATATCAGTGGTAATCTGTTGTGTCGCATCAATTTTGCGTTGGCTAAATGCTGTGTTGGTTATTTCCAACTGAGATAGTGGAGAAATAATCACCTCTGTTTTCCAGCACTGGCACAAATTGCAAACAGCAGCACAAACAGTGATTGTGATCAGCTCTGCATCTCAGATCTCGGATGAGAAGACAAGACTTAGCTGCAACAAGGAAGAGATGTTTATCTTTACAGATCTGTTTGTATCCCAGGCAGAAAAAGAAAAAGAGCACATAAGCATCTGCTGTCGGCCAAATTGTTATTTTAAAAGTCTGTATCGGCCCAGAACTTCCCAATCGGTGAATCTCTACACACTTATAAAGCTCAGAGAGACAAACATATGAATATGTAACCTTGTACATGGTGTTTTTGAGATATATTAACCTATGATTGATTGAGTTGTCTACCAGAGCGACTGCCTTACACATAAACCTCAGATATATTATTTAAGTTTCTTTATATAATCGCATAAAGTCAATGTAGCATGACATAACAGTTAGTGTCCTCCTTTAAAGTAATGAAAGCTGTTAAGTTACAACGTGGCCTTCATAGCAGACTCCTCTGTGAGCCTGGAAGGGGGGGAAAAA